TCCACGCTTCTAATTTCACATTGATATTTCAATATTGGCTTCATACTTTAATATAGTTGTTAATTCTATTAATAGTATCTCCTTGTTGATGCATGAGTTCTGTGAATTCGCGCATAATTTGATTTATATGTAGAATATCTCCCTCGATTTGTTCAATTCTATCTTCTGTTTCTTCTAAGTTTAGTGGCATCGGATCGATCCAGATCCTTACGGCCAGACTATCTATCTTCTGTTTATCTATTTTTTTGAGAAATAATTCCTGCTGGAACTCGAAAATCCTTTGTTATATTCCCTATATTTTTGTTCTTGTACTTGAAGTAACCGTTGCGTTTCTTTAGCATCCTCCCCATTGAATTTTTTATATTAGTTACAGCTAAAATATGTCTCTTCATCTTCTCTGCAATTGAGCTTTGCTGCATATCAGAATATCTCTGTAGCGCATCTTTAAAATCTGTTGTGAGTTTTTCAGTTTGTAATTTTTGTTGTTTATCTGTTTCATCAATATCGTTAGTCTTGCTATGTCTTTGCTTGTTTGTGTGACTATCTAATTGATTCTTAATTGTGTTACATGTACTTTGTCTCTTAAACCTTGATTATCTTTAGTGGTTTGGATATTTTTATAAACTCTTTCTAATTTTCCGACACTGAGAAAAATCGTTTGATTGTACCAACAAGACTCCTCTGAATTCTTGCGTTATGTGTTAATTGTGTTTTCCGATAGCGAGGTGAACGTTGCCTTCTTTTTAGAAAAAATTCTCCATGCATTATCTCATACCTCTTTTTGTAAGCTGTGCTTTCTGCTTTGAATAATTTTCTCTTACTTATTGTTTGCACGATTTTAAATTTGCATTCGTTTAGAATTGTATACATGACTTTTTCTATTTTTCTACTTTTCTACTTTTCTATTTTTCTACCGCGCTCGCCCGTGTCTTATCCCGCATTGTCATCTTTATTTTTAATTTTATTTTTTACCATTTTTAACAACACCGTTCAAAACATTGAAAAGGATCTAGAAAAGATCAAAAGAGTATATATATTTATAAGTATATTTATTTATAAGTATATTTAGAAGTATATTTATAAGTATATTTATTTATAAGTATATTTAGAAGTATATTTATAAGTATATTTATAAGTATATTTTTTACATTAATTTTTAAATTAATTATTAATATATTATGTTATTATCTTAGACAATTCATTTTTTATTTGCTTCACTACGTGCTTTATTTGCTTTACTACGTGCTAACATCCTACGTCACAGTCTTTTAGCCTTCTTTCTTATTGTTTTTTATTGTTATCATATCTCTGACCATATATTTCTTTTGTTATTGTTTTTAAAACATATTGAATAACTTAAGAACTATTAATTTTGAAATGCATATACTTTAACGCTTTCTTCCTTAAAATTTTTTTACTTTATAGAATTCCATAAAAAATTGTCATTTTATTTAAAAAAATAATTTTTTTTCTTAGATCTCCATCTACAACGAAATTGCTATCATATGACGTAGAATTCGAAACCGTAAAATCCTCTAGCTTCAATATTTTCCTGTTGTTTAAAATAACAGAGATATTTTTGATAGGCAAATTTAGTAAACTCTGTATACACATTGTATATTTTTGATCGGAAGTCATAGATTTCCAAGCAAAATCTGGTCTAAAGATTCGTGTTTATGAATAATCCGCGTAAACGCGGATATCAATTGCCGTTACTAGGCAGCAACGTGGCCGATCGATTCGCGGAGATCAAGTAATCCCGGAGTGCTTTCAGTGTTAAATATCCATGCTTTTTTTATAAAAAAAATCTTCCCGTAATATACAATAAAAAAAATCATAAAATATATAGTTTAATTTCATCATACGCTATTTTCCAAAAAACTATTCAAAATATCGATGTAATTTTTTTTAAAATTTTATCGACTAGAGGACTCTAATAAACACATGTAATAAATCAAATTTAAAATCCTTTATAAGAGATTATTTGTTATTATAAGAAATTATTAATTTTTTACTTCAGTAAATGTTTAAAATAATTTTTATCAAGTTCTAAATATTTATTGGCGCGCTAATAAAATAAATGTGGCGTGTTATTAAAAAATAAAGAAAAATTCAGATTAATAAAGTTTTTAAGAACGTATAAAAATTTAACCATGTTCTATATTTTAAAATTTATTTATAATTACTTTTCTTTTACCTCTCTTACGATGGATTTAAAATTTTATTTATTACATATGTTATATAAAAGAGCTTACGATTCGATGAAATTTGAAACAAAATTTATATTTTATCGATATTTTAAATCATTCCTTAGAAAATGGTGTGTAACGAAGCTAATGGAATATCATGTATGTTTGAACGAGATTGAATGATATTATGAAACATACGTTATGATGCATTATCTGCGATTGCGATGAAAAACGTCCATTTTGGTGGAAAAAGAAAGAGAGAAAGAGAAAACATTAAAAAGATGTTTTATGAGAAACATACAGCGCATTAAATCTTTGCTTATTTTTCTGACCTTTCAATAAATCGGTGGACAGAAATGCAGTTTGGCTCGGTTCAGTAAAAAAATACTACAAGATTCAGGAATTCTCAAAATACGCGGTTGATGTCGCACGTGCGGAAATTGATGATATCGACGGATTTGAATTATTGCATCTGCATTCAATTTAGGGTCACTGCTGACGTATATAAAGTACCTTTGTGTAGAAATTCACTTAGCACCCGTTCAAGAGAAATTAATATTTTGTAGAGATAAAAATCTGACATTCTTTTTTTTGGAGAATCAATTTCTTCATTTTTTCCTTTTTATAATTGCTTCTCTTTATAAAGCGATTACGCGAAAAATTTGCGCTTCGCTTTGCGAGGACCTCAACTCTATACTGAGGGAAAAATTTTTTTAAATCAAATAAATTTGTTTTCTTGAAACTTTTACTTTAAATGGAGGAAGGAATTGTTTATTTCATTTAAGCAAAAGCATTTAATTTTAATTAAATATACATGTTATATTAAGTACATTATTTTCATTTATATATTTTTTATATTTAAATACTATTTTCGTAAAATATATACCATAATTTATTAAATTAAATATATTATTCTTTAAAATTAAAAAATTTAAAATTTTTGGGAATGCATTTTAATAAATATTTTGTAAAATTAAAATAAAAATATTTAATTAAAAAATTATATTTTTTTAAGCATATATATATTTTTAAACATATGTAAATCAATACTTAACTTAAGCAAACAGACGTTTCGAATACAAGTAAATACGTGATTAGTACCCATCGAATAAATAGCTTTCTTGAGTTAACTAAAATTTTTTTATTTCAAGATCATTTTTTCCTCAGTGTATTTATAAAAATAGCACGATCCGTAGCTTGACATAGGATCACCATAAGAATCCGATGAAAGATACGAGTGAATTTACCCTCGTTTATTTAGAGTCGATCAAAGTTTATTATCTACATGACCTAAGATGTGGGGCATAGAAAACGCGTTACTTCTCGCGTTTGTCACGTCCGCTTGCTAGCTTATTCCGTGATATACGGGACATTGTGTATGCATATTAAGTTGTAAACCTCACCCGGGAGAGAATGTGTTTCATCTTTAATAAACTGGATAAAAGATCGCTGAAGCGAGTGACTTCATCTTTTATTCTTCGGTATTATTTAAAAAAAAATCTTATTAAGCGGTTTATATATAATATAGTTCCTTTACAAAAATCTTATTAAGTATTCGCGTTTTCTACTGCAAAATTATGTCAATAAATTTCAGAACACTCAGCAACTATTTCGGGTATATATCCTAAGCAAGTTTGCTATGTTGCAGGTTCCGCCGATCTCACGAGTTTGCGACTCTCCTCCAACGGCAATTTAACGCTTGCCTTCCGGCAATACGCTCTAACACTTGTCGTTATTTGATAATTAAATGGGAAATAATTAGAATGCTTCTACCTGTGTATATTGGAAACTTTAATCATGCTAATTGCGAAATTTGCGCCGTGAAATGCTTAGCTTGATTTGCATGCCATCAGAAATACTTTATATTCCTTTTAATTAAATCAATCTATAATGAAATGCATTAATACGCGACATAAAATTATATTAAGCACGTGAGGAAGAGCAGTCGATGAGAAAATATTAGATCAATCATAATAATTATAGGGGAAAACTCTCTTGCTTAAATAAACTTTATTTTATTAATTAGTATCAAAGATAGCGATCTCTCTCTCTCTCTCTCTCTCTCTCTCTCTCTCTCTATCAAAACAGTATATTAAGTAATTAAAATTGAAATTGTCAGACACATTTAAATGAAAACTGATTTACTCTTGCTTGATAATCCATTAATCGCATATCACCGATATCTCTAGTTACATATATCTGTTAGGGAATGCTACACTGAGGGAAAAATATTTTTAAATCAAATAAATTTGTTTTCTTGAAACTTTTGCTTTAAATGCAAGGAATTGTTTATTTCATTTAAGTAAAATCATTTAATTTTAATTAAATATACATGTTATATTAAGTACATTATTTTCATTTATATATTTTTTATATTTAAATACTATTTTCGTAAAATATATACTATAATTTATTAAATTTAATATATTATGTTTTAAAATTAAAAAATTTAAAATTTTTGGGAATAAAAAATGCATTTTAATAAATTTTTGTAAAATTATATTTTTTTAAACATATGTAAATAAATACTTAACTTAAACAAACAGACGTTTTGAATACAAGTAAATACGTGATTAGTACCCACCGAATAAATAGCTTTCTTGAGTTAACTAAAATTTTTTTATTTCAAGATAATTTTTTCCTCAGTATATATATGCAGCGCGTTTGATCAAATCGCATTATGCTAATTCGACGATGCGACGCATACTTCGTCGAACTGTACAGACATTCTGTATAACTGGCTATCCATGCGAAATAAGTGAGCTCGCGAGGAGACAAAGGGAGAGAGAGATCGCGCAAGAGCGCACTTACCTGAATTGGAGTTGGGTCGACTATGCTGCAGCTTTGTCTGTGTTGTTGCTGAAATTTCGGCTGATACGGCTCGAGCATGCGGATCTTGCCCCATCGATTGAAAAATAGGGCGATCGCAGCCACCCACAGGACCAGGACGAGGATGACGATCAGGGCCTCCTCGGCGCGCACCACTACCGCACCTGTTCCTGCGCACGTTCAATTCTCGATTAAATTCATTCTTTATCATTTTCAACGTAAAATATACAAGTACACAGTAAACAATGTTGTGTTAAATTTAAGATATTTCACATGTCCCAATTTATCCACTCTAATTTTAATGTTAATTTAACAGAAGGCAAGTATGTAAATAAATAACACAAATAATATGTTTAAAAACTAACACAAAAGTGTAACACTTAATCTTTATCTGGAAATAAAGTTTATGTTAAATTAACATATTTATAATGTTAAATTTAATTAAAAGAAAATGTTATTCTTACATTTTTATGATAAATAACAGAAGAGATATGTCGATTTAACATATGGAAACTGTTATAGAGAAAAAAATAATACAACTTATCTGTTCATTTTAACATATAACATATTTCATCAAAAATTCATGCCTTTACATATTAATTGTGTTGTTTTAACTCTTAGAAACGGTGAATATTAACTCAACGCAGAAATGTCAAAATAACGCAACGATAATACGATGTTACTTTAACATAAAAGTATGTTAAAAAAATTTAACACAAAAATTTTTACACAAGAAAATTTTAACAGAAATACAAAATGTTTTTTACCGTGTGCTTTTGTAGACTTGTAATTTTGACCTCTGAACAGGTTTGTGATAAATTGTTAACGGAAATGCACAAATATACCTCATCATTTTCTCCACAAATAGATTCTTTAATATGGTGCAAATGATGTAACTCGACAGGTAGAAGAACGCGCGTATCATTCTGCCTGCGTAACAAGCAAGAAAAAAATAATAATTGCCTATTATATCGTTTTCAAATCCGACGTTGCCACAAAGTTTGGTAAAAAAAAGTAAATACTCTAATTTTTTCATCCATATTTCAGAGAAAGGACATGTATAAAACATTTATAAAGAATTTATATATAATCTTAATAAAAATTTCTCTTTCAATTTTAATAATTTTATTTCTCTTTAATTGAACATAGACTTCTACGTGAAATTTCGTATAATAAAAAAGAGCGAAGATTAAAATTCCGATGCAGTTAGAGCGAGTGAATTAAAATAAAAAATACGAATTACACAAGAGTGGATTACAAAAGATTTCTCTTGATAAGACGGTCTTGATGAAAAACCGCAACGTTTCTAGCGACCTTGTGCTAGTACGATCGTAAGGCATATACCTAGTAGGATCTCCATCGAATATTCTTTCTCTACATTTATGCTATCTAATTTAAACTCGTAAGCTTCAACAGTTCAGCAAATAATGACTAATAGACTTATCCTGAAAAGCCGTGCATAAGTAAAATACGAAACTGCCACGTCAAACAATTATATTCAATGCGATGTGACATATTACAATTTTATTTCTTGTATTATCTACAAGAAATAGAAAAAAAAATTTTTTAGATTATTTTAAATAGAAAAAAAGAAATTTTAAATATATTTTATCTAGAATTATTTTCGCGCGAAACGATTTACTTATGTAAAATATAAATTATATTATTATTCTAATGTAAAAAAAAAGATAGAGATATGTAAAATAAAATAATTGATAAAAAAATAATCGATAAAGAAATACACTCGGATTCTATATTTTTATTACACGGTAAAAAACAATTTGTATTTCTGTTAAAATTTTCTCGTGTAAAAACTTTTGTGTTAAATTTGTAACATACTCTTATGTTAATGTAACATATTATCGTTGCGTTATTTTGACATTTTTGTGTTGAGTTATTATTCACCGATTCTAAGAATTAAAAGAACACAATTAATATGTAAATGCACGAATTTTTGATGAAATATGTTATATGTTAAAATGAACAGATAAGTTGTGTTATTTTTCTCTCTATAACAGTTTCCATATGTTAAATCGGCATCTCTCTTTTGTTATTTATCATAAAAATGTAAGAATAACATTTTCTTTTAATTAAATTTAATATTACAAATGTGTTAATTTAACATAAACTAGATACGGCAATCAGTGTGTTTTTATGAAATAAAAGTGAATAATACATTGAGAAGTATTAGAATAAACAAAAAAATGAAGTCACAAGGAAAATAAATAAATTTTTTTAACGACATTTTACCGCACACGATAATTAAGCCAGAATTTATTACATTCCGGCCTTCAATCATATTTCTTGAAGAGGGTGTAGCATTGGTATAGCTACACAAAGTATCTAAACGCAGTGACAACATTTGCGTTTTCTTAACAATTTTTAAAATAGTATTCTTAAATGTCAAATCGTTCTTTGCGACAGCCATATTTGTTATGCGACACGAGCGCCCCTCTACCCGCGGTGGTAATTTTTTTCCCAATTGAAAAGATACTCATCAGTATTATTTAAAAAATAGAGCAGGTATAAAGCAAACATTTGCGGTAAAATGTCAACTTTAAAAAGTTAACTCGATGATCGCGATATAACGCGACCTAATTTTTCATATGCGTTGATTTACGAGCCAACTGCACGAATGTGCCAGACTGGCTGTATAGGTAACGGAGAAAATATACCCAAGAAATATCGCTCAGGAGTGTCGGGCACAATTCGATGCTCGGTCATACGTGAAGCTTTGTTGGCGACCCTTCAATACCGTCTAACGATTTCACAGTACACTCGCATAGCGATCCAAAATGATAAATTGATATTCGTCACCCTACGAATGCCGGATCGAACCTTTCGAAGAAAGAGCTCGCGATGTAACATTACGCAGAGAATCGAAACAAAAAGAGGAACTATATGGATTCCATTATGAGATGCTTGGTATACTTGTCCCTGGTGACTGTAAAATATACGGTTTTTTTTTCTAAAAAAAGACGACATTTTCTACATACATAATTTATGTACTACTTTAAATGTCTATCCTCTCTTCTCTTCGTTGTCGACAGGATATTTCATATGCTATAAACTTTGCATATCCAAAAATTTGAAAGTTGATTAGTTTAAGTAACTTTAGTAGTTTAAAATAACTTAAGTAGTTTAAAGTAACTTTAAAAAAATAACGTGTTACAAAGAGATGTATTACATTATAAAGCATATTATATTACGAGTAGGGTTGCACGAGATATCAAGATTAGTCTTGATATTGTCTTGTCTTGTCTTGAATTTCAAGACAAGATCAAAGCAAGATTTTTAATTAATTATCAAGACAATGCCAAGACTAAGACTGTTAAGATTATTAGTCTTGTCAAGATTATTGGTTCTCAAAGAAACTAAAATATTTATATTTGTAAATAAAATCACTATATACGAATTTAAAAAAATTTTATTCAATAAAAACATTTATATTAATACATTTAAAAACATTTAATATTAATACAATACAACATTCTTATAAATTAGAAATCAAACTCGCAAATTTTAGACATTAAAGAGCATTTTCACTTAAAATGTTTCGAGCCATTTTTGATAATGTGAGATAAATATGATGGGATAAATATGAACCTGATTTTTTTACCACTCCAAAATATTTATATCTGCACATTCCCTTGGAGCCTGTAAATACTTATTAATTTCTGTTTTCCATGAAACAGTAAATGTTTTTTTATGTAAATAGACGGCATTTACATTGATTATATAGTAATAATTATAATTAAAATATAATACAATAGTAATAATTATTTCAAATTATATCACAAAAATTATGTTAAATATTATTTAAATAATTTTTTAATATTAGATAAAAAATTGTTAATAAAATCGAGACAAGACAATACAAGACGAGATTTTTGCTACCAATATTCACTCAAGACCAAGACAAGATTTAAATTTTTGAAAATTTTCAATACCAATACAATATTTTTACAAATATTGTCTTGTCTTGGGACTTGTGCAATCCTAATTACGAGAAAATTGTTGATACTCTCTTTTTTCTCTACTTTACAGTACATTATTGCACAGTATATTATTTATCGTATATTATTTTATTTGTTATGTTTTTAAAAAGCGATTATGCGATCCATCTCTGATATTTTTTTTGGAATATCATTGCAACTGATATTTGTTTATTAACTTTATGGAAAATCAAAATAAATCAGCGCCACGAAAATCAAACTGCATCGGATTAACCACCCAATGCTATTAGCAAAAATTGAGAAACATATTCGGATATTCACGTACTCGTTTCATAATAGTAAATTATGTATCACACATGTAACACACGTGTGTTTACATGTTAGTATTGAACCGTTACTATGTCACGCTCGCAAACATAAAGTTTTCGCGGATTTGGATGGAATGCGAAATCAACCGTTCTGAATAATTCCGCTGATTGATGAAGGTAAAATTGAATCGACGAGCGAAGCGAAAACTCGAAAAGTAAACACCGAAAATACATTTATCCCACGGATCATTTCTTTTCGTTTGTCACGTTGAAGGAAAATTGTGAGGCACGTCAAAAATTCAAGGCAAAAATACGGGAATATATATGAAAATTCCCTCCGGACTCTTGGAAATTGAAATATCATGTACGTGATCAATGTTTCAGAGAACTCATCAAACTTTTGGTCATCTCCCCCCCCCCCAAATTTTTCTCTCCTCGATTTTTCTTGTTGATGAAAATCTTGATACCTTGATAAGGATAATATTCGATATAGAACTTCAATCTAACTTCTAATTCGAAGATGGTACTATCAATAAATAATTTACTTATGTGTTTCGTAGATGTGTTTTTTCTTTGTGAATATTTTCTCAAATATAAGATCAATTCTTTCAGTTTTTAAATGAAAAGAAAAAAAAGAAATAAAAACAAAAATTATGGAACGACTTCAAATGAGGATATTCTGTCATTAATATTCATTACTCATACATTCTTTAGGGGAGAAAGAAAGGGTTGAGGTACGCTTGGGTATCTTGCTTAACAAGATTGGGCGCAGAAGACATTATGAAACACGATAAGGTCAGAAATAAACAAGGGTTACAGTATTTCTCTTGTATTATATGAAGAAATATTAAACTCTCACCATCGGGAAAGGTCGAATTAAGTTCGGTGGCGGCTTCCAATTCCGATGACATGGATCCGACGACAGCGTCCGGTGCCTCTCTGAGCTCCACCTCGATCTTTGTCACGTTATCTGTTAAATGAAAATATCCAGAAGTTTAACAGATCTCGTTCATTATCAAGCTGTCACCTTTAAATACCAATATTATATATATATGTACAAGGTGTATCTGAAATGATGCACTAAACTTTAGGAGCGTATTCTAGAGGCAAAATAAGACCATTTTTCTCATAAACATGGGTCCGCAAATGAACCCCCCTCCGAGCTAAAATTCGAAAATGTGTGAAATTGATCAAATACCCGCAACGCAAATTTATTTATCTCTCAAGAAAGGATGATAGGTAACATCAAAACCTTTTTTTTTTTTCTTAAATACAGCCAATTTTTAATTTTTCCCCAAACTTTAGGGGCCCCCCTCGGAGGGAGGTTCATTTGCGAACCCATGTTCATAGGAAAAAAAAGTCTTATTTTGATCTCTAGAATACGCTCCTAAAGTTTGCATCATTTATATTTGTATTTTATCAAATACACCCTGTATATATAATATTGTCATTTAAGGATGTATTGGAGATATATTATAATCAATGAGATCGCCGTGGATTTTTAATTTAACATTCTTAATAACAAATCGTCATGAATTATTTCAAATTTTTTTACTTGCTCCTTTAAAAGTTATTAATTTTTGAATTTTGCGATTTTAACATGGGATCTTATGTAAACGTTCAAGAGACTGGTAATAAATTATTCACAAACTATAAAAAAACAATGATAAAAATTTCATTTTGTAATATTATATTCTTCATACATGTAAAAATGTTCCCACAAAGTTTTCAAACGATTTACTTGCTCGTTTTGAAATTATTATTAAAAAATAACTGTGATTATCGGTTTGACGCAATATTGATGATAAAACGTGGCAACATTTTCTTGGAAATTAAGACCTATTTATATTAAAGAATACTTTGAAGTATGATTTCGTGATTTTTAAAAAATTTTTGATCAATTAGAATTCGTATTCTGCACAACTTTAATTTTTTGGTACTTTGGATTAACTTTTGAGACAGACGGTCCTCCAATACATCCTTAATGATAAAAGCTCGATAATTTTATATATATATATATATATATATATATATATATATATAGCGGTAAAATTATTTAATTAAATTTTTCACGTCGCTTTTTTTTGTTTCTCTTCTCATGTATATACATGTATATATTACACATACATACCGCTTCCATTAACGTCGTGGCGTTTGCTCGACGTAACATGCCCATGTCGTCTGGGTCGGTCGCTTCCCTCCACAATGAGATATTCTCTGCCGTAACAATCTATAATCCGATAGACGAGCGTTTGCAAATAAAAATATGACACTATAATTAAATTTGCATTATAAATTCATTTTTCAGCACGCGATTCGATCTTAATCAAATAAAGCTAACTCTCGTTTTATTTAGCTATCTTCAAGCAATTTAGCTGTCTCCGAGAAAAAAATTCAAATTCAAATTTCTCACGGTTGAAAAGATAACGCAATAAAAGATACTCTCAAAGAGAGGTAGACATATCTATTATTTGGACAGGCGGATTTACAGGCGGGTGAAAAATATCGTGTTGCGTTCGCGAGGCTGAAAAATGAGAAACAGTGATGCATGCATCTCGCGGAATGTTAAAAAGAAAGCGCCAATGGTGTTGAAAATGTGCCTCTTTCTCATGCATTATTCAGAAATCCATGCGTTATATACACATATACATAGACATATACAGGGTGTCCCAAAAGTCCCGGACCGGTCGAATATTTCATAAACTATGCACTTTAGAAAGAAATATTTCAGACAAAAGTTATATGGCTTGAAAGGGGCCATCAGATAGTGGCAATGATTTGACATGGGAGAGTCATTTGAAAGTCACGTGAAGATCACCGTCAATTTCTTAAATGGAACTCCCTATTTTTTATTACATATTCGTGTAGCTTATCTCGAGAGCATTTCAAAACACTATAATTAAGTTAGTTTTCATTAATACTTTCCGAATTAAAAGGCTTGAAATTATTTCTTAATTTTACATAAACCGTAAAATATCTTGTAAAATATTCATTTTTCGATTATCTTACCTTAATATTTTTATATACAAAATAATGAGAGAAATCAATTGGTGTAAATCAATTATTTTCTTAAAACATAGTTGTTTTTAAGAAAAAAATATATAATTTGCAATTAACATTACATATTTTTTTTTAAAACAACTATGTGTTTTCTTTACACCAATTGATTCCTCTCATTATTTTGTACATAAAATTATTAAGGTAAGACAATCGAAAAATGAATATTTTACTAGATATTTTATGGTTTATCCAAAATTAAGAAATGATTTCAAGCCTCATAACTCGAAAAGTACTTAATGAAGAAATACTTTATTATGTTTTGGAGTGTTTTGGAAAGCTCTCGAGATAAGCTACATGAATATCCAATAAAAAATAGGTGGTTCCATTTAAAAAATTGAAGGTGATCTTCACGTGAAGAATTTAAAAAATTGAAGGTGATCTTTCAAACAACTTTTCAAGGTCAAGCCAATGATACTATCTTATGGTCTGCTTCAAGCCATATAACTTTTGTCTGAAACATTTCTTTCTAAAGTGCATAGTTTATGAAATATTCGACCGCTCCGGGACTTTTGGGACACCCTGTATATATTGTATATATTATATTCCTCTATTCACGGTTTCATTGCAGAAATGAACGGTTGCGACGGTGACATTCGTTTGCACTTTCGCCTATCGTGTATGCAGTTTCGACATTTTGATTTAACGCGGAGCGCTAAATCTTCCGACCGCATTCCCCGATAAAGCGACTTCGAAATCCGCTTAAGTCTCGCCCACCGCGTTTACCTTCCACCAAGCGCGTGGCATAAATCACGCATTTACCGTACTTATTAGACTTGAATAACGCTCACGATTAAAGGATCATCGCTCCATCCCACGAACTCCCGTCATTCCTTTCGAAATCATCGCGGGAATATTTCTCAAACGCGCGCGTCATTAATAATAAAAGGCGTATCGACCGCGGCTGCAACTACGTAAATAATGAACGCGACTAATATGTTACCGCATTCGCGTACTATGTATACAGTGTTTGCTGTAGATTCATTAGAATTTCAAAATTATCTAGATGAAGATAAAGATAAAAATCCGTAAATTTATCAGAGTGTCCCAGACCACCCGTACACCCCTTTTAAAATAAAAATAAATAGCTTTTATCAAAAATCGCGAACAATTTTTAAGTAAATCGAGTACGCTCTATCAAATGGTGATATTTTCAACTTTTGATTCTGACCGGAAATACACCATCCGGATCGGAAGTTAAATTTTTTTAAGAGAACATGATACTTTTTATTACAGATTCGAATTGTATGTGAAAAAATAAGAAACTTTTGTATCAAACGTTTTTTCCAAAAGTGTCTCTGTCAATTCTAAAATTGACCTTGAAAGTAACTGTGATGAAATAATGAACTGAACGAAGATTGTCAATGAACAGTGTTTGTTGTAGATAATTTCAAAATTATCTAGATAAAGATAAAGATAAAAATCCGTAAATTTATCTTAGATGAGATAAATATGATTTTGCCTTTACTTAATCTAGATGAAAGATGAGATAATTATTGCGATAATCTAGATAATTATCTAGATATATTTTTGTTTATTTTATAAGACTATAAATATTTGTGAAAAATGTGACGCAGATTATAAATGGGATATTAAAATCATAAACACATATTCTTTCTCTTTTCCTAAAGAATATTTAAATAATAACAAAAAGTTATATAAATGATATAATAAATATTTATTTATTCATTTATATTTATAATAAATTTATAATATATTTATAATATAATAATTAATGTGTAACAATACATATATCATTTTTATAAAATATACATTAATTGCACAAATTTAAGGAAAACAAGTACAAGATAAAGTATATTTGTAATATTATTTTCCAAATAAAAAATATATTTTAGATATTTTAGATAGATTTTTAGAAGCTTGCCTGGAAAACTCTTTTGCATAATGAGAACGTCATCTTAGACAATTTTTAGATAAGATGACATATATTTTTTACCTAAGAAAAAGATAAAGATACTTTGTATTTCTTCATCTAGTTAAAGATAAAGATGATCCATTTTCTTTATCTAGATAATTATCTAGATACTTTTATCTAGATACCAGCAAACACTGTATGTATACATCTATTAAGGCGAGTGCCGTAGAGAGGAAAACCTCGATCGGCTGTGCATTCTCGAGAGGCGGTTAAATGGCGTCGGAAAATCCTGTAAGTCACGTACTGCGATCGCTAAATAAATTTAAATGAAAGGGTCGCAGCTTGCACCCGATTTCGACCCCGCGATAACAGCCACTTGTACGCCGGGGGAGAAAAATCTTCCGATGAATCTCGAGGGTCTCGTATTTCAGAGTGGAGACTCGCTTACCACTAAAAGCTCGGTAGACAGTGGATAAGGGGTGAGAAAGTTGTACTGATGACACAAAAGCGGGGGTTGCGCTCAGGGATAATTACATCTGGGAGATTCTCCCCCCCCCCTCTCTCTCTCTCTCTCTCTCTGTTCGTCTCCTCATAGCATCTCGTAGCTTCATTCTCCCATCGGGCGACGGTGACAACGGAAGACGAGATAATCACGACGCTTAAGCGAAGCGCGAGATTTAATGGAGCCGCAAAGTAGCGCGGCATGTTTTTGTTTCTTGTTGTTTTCTTTAAAAAAAAAAACTATGACCTTGGAATGATACACGAGTGATAAAAAGCTTGGGAGGTCAACGCACATTTATTCATAGATTGAGTCTCTCTGGCTTTAATATTATGCTGCACGTAAATTCTGCGTAGTATTATTATAAATGACACTTTTATTCTTACACCATTACACGTATTATTTCCAGGCTATTACAATTATGATGTAATTTTGGCTCGTCTACTCGAATGTTTGATTGAAAATAATTTATTAGATAAGTTTATTACGTGCTGTGGAAACTGGCTCAATTTCATTATGTAAAATCGATCGACATAAGTCGGTTAGATAATAGATAATAAGTAAGAGTAAGGGCGAGGCCGGCTCTCAAGCACACGATAGAGCCTTTAGTGTTTCTGAGCAAAATTGTCCTCCTTTGTTTGTCTCTTAATCAATGATCGATAAAATATGCATGCAATCAATACTTTAATTCTTCGCATAAAAATGATAATAATCTTTTCCATCGTTATATATTTATTGTTAAAAATTTTTATTATTATAAATATATATTTTTAATATAATTATAAATAATATAATTATAAATAAATTTTTATTATTATAAATATATATTTTTTTCTTGTTAAGTATCCTTTGTTATTAAAATATGTTTGTTATTAATATTTGATATGTGTTCGACGTCTATTTTGGTATTATATTATTTCTGAGAATTATATATTTATAAATAAATTTTGCTGTGTGTCTCGATATTCTTATTCTGTTATCAAATGTAACTCCGGCTTAGAGGAAACTGCAAATTGGGATGCTTTCAGGCAGATCTAACCGCGGAACGTGTATGAAACTCAGAAATGTAGGAATTCTGTGGAGAACACAAGTATATACGGGACAACAAGAGAATGCTCCTAGAGAAATTGTCCCATTTTGCATTTTGAAGGTGCATAAAAATTTTATTTTTGTGATTTTTCGTATAAATAAAAGATAACAATAAATTCTCTTTAACGATGTTGAAGATGCAGATTTTTTTCGAGAAGATTTAGATCTTGAAGAATAATAGTCAAATCTAAGGATTGCTGACATATTTGGATGTTTTTGCGACCTTTTCGTCCATAAGATCTATCATAAAAAGAAGGACTGGAAATATTTCATAAAGTACGTTCTTTTATAGTCATTTATTCTTCTTATTTTTTAGAATAAAAATCATCACACATAATAATGCAAAAAATAGCGACATTATTAGCAGAAAAACTCTGACATATTTTTGTATAGGAGGAGTTGTTAACCTACATATGCTGAGGCTTTCTTTCTCCTTTGATTAGTATTACTTCACATTTATATTGACAACTTTTCAATATTTCACCAGGGCAATCTTGAAAAATTCGTTTTTATATCTCAGGTATTTTAGGCGTATCACAAAGAAAAGTAAAAAATATGAGCCAGAACTACAAAGATTCCACCGACTGCAAATCTTAATTATTGGAATATCCGTAATAAAGAGTTACATGCAATAAAATATCGTATAAAAGCAGCATTACAGTCTTTTGCTCATTAATCAACAGTGTTCTTTTCATAAAACCGGAAAACG